CTCAAACCACCTTGGGTACTGGAAGGAGTATCCAACACATTGGCTCCATCTAGGCTAACTTCTCCATCTAGGCATATTTCTCTAGCCAGCTTTCCCTCTTCACAGATGGAAATCCCCAGTAATTCAGCTAGACTATTTCCAGTAGTTAAACTAGGTTATTTAGAGACAGCTAAACCATGAAAGTCTTTCCAAGTCTTAGTTCTCATTTGTGAACTGAAAAATAAGACAGAAAAAGTGTTTTTTCTTCAATTAACTAAGGAAACAATTAACTAAGGAAAAGTTAATTAGCACACAAACAAATCAATGCTTATGAAAATTATTTCAAATTGAAATGAGGCAATGAATCCAAATTTACACATCTGCATTGATATAACCTGATTTTGAAGATCAAGTCTGTAGTCAAAACAAGCCAAATACTGTTAATTATACTCATCTTGCCTCATGAGTATCCTGCTATAAATCTGTAGGATCAGTGCTTTTAGGTTTAGAGGAGTTTTTAAAGTGCAAGGCAAATACCATTTAAAACTAGTACATAAAAAAACACTCAAATAAAAAGTTTATTTACAGAATATCAGAACCAATGGAGAGTTATTTTCTATTGTTTTGTGGATTTCATGTCCCAGTAGGCACCCATTCCAAATGCTGAAGGATATTTAGCATTGAGGCATTTACAAGGGCCTTAATCTTGTGTGGATTCTTTGTTGTCTAGTATGGTGTAAGTTTAACAACTTCCCACATAAAACTGCTTCTGCTCTATCAAGCCACCTGTTATCATGAAACCCACAAGATTTTATATATCCACATTTCTGTCAAGTTTGACTAAAACCAACCAATATGTTCAAAAGCTACTTGAGGATCAAAAAAAAACCCACAAAGCATAGCTGCTTAAATTTTGTTTCCATAGGAAACTGATTAAAAATGCAATAGAACTGATCCCAGTTAGTTCATCAATAAATGCTCTGAATGTGATTCACACTCAAATTCTGCACCAATTACTCTGTGTAAGACTATGACTCATTAAGACAGTACAAAAGATTCCTTGACTGTGCTCCTGTTCTACTCAGGAAAATACATTCAAGTATCCTACATGAGTGTTTCTTGAGGACATGTTTGAAAACAGAACAACAGCAAATGTGTGTCTAATTTAATTTCTCAAATATTGTGTAGAGTGGAACACACACACACACACACAAAAAAAAAAAAAAAAAAAAAAAAAAGCTTTGGAGAAATGTAATCACAACTTGTAATGTAGACCACTGATGGAAGACTTTGCCTCTTCCCCTTCTTTTATCATTTTTATCAGCCATGACATAGACCCTGAACTCTGTCTATGCACTAGTAAGGTGCACGTGGGCCCACCATCCAGGCAGATCTTGATTTAACCTCGTCCTCACAGCTCTCTGGATCGCCCTGGTCACAGAATACTAGGCAGAGGATTTAAATCTACTTGTTTGCATAAATGAAATCAGCCAAAAAAAAAGAGTTGTGTTCATGACCCATCTGTAGTACTGAAAAAGCTCTATGATGATTACAGTCAATTATTCTCTTGCAGAGCTAAGATCAAAACCACAGCTCAGCCAAAATTATACACTCCTGAGAACAGCTACAGAACAGACAGAAGAGCTCCCCTCATGTTTCTGCCACTTTTATACTGTTGCGCTTTGCAGTTCATCAGCTCATGGGTCTCTCCCAACATGTGGATGCTTCTCAGGCCACAGGGAAGTCTCCTGAGGTTTGTCATATGGCACTCTGTCAGCCAAGAATGGCGAACACGGATCCATATGGTCTGTTCAGCAGTGGTCTCTGATGTAAAGCCACAGGTCTTCGACACAGGCTCCACTTCAGTCAAATGAGGAGTGAATGAGCAAGTGCTGATTAACTGAAGTTCAACTTCTATCTTTGATAAATGCAGACATTCATGGTTCATTCACTTCTGTCAGCGCCTCAGCAGTGAAACTGCAGAAACAGGATCAACTTAATTCCCAGAAACTAACAAGAAGTAATTCTTCCTGGAGTATCAAATTCAGTGCTACAATTCAGATGAAAGCATCTTTCTAGAGCATTGAAGAAAAAAAAAAAAAAACCTCATGTGAATATGCAATTATTGTTCTTAGTTCTATACATAACAGCCAGGCAAAAGTTAAAATTGAAAGGCCTAACTAAAACAATCACAGAAAAGTAGGTTTAAAAGACATCACTGATCACTGTCAGGATCAGTTGAACCTATAACATTTCTGCTGCATGTCTTTTTTTCCAAATTACTGCTTTAAAAAGTTCTTGTGTATGTAGTTAAATTGGTATTAGATACTGATAGTAAATGCTCCCTAATATCTAGCCAAAGCCTGCCTTACTGAAGTGCCTTGCTGCACTTTTGTTTTCTCCACGTGGATTATGGAACGCTATTCCCTCTTGGCAGCTCTTTATTTAGTGATGACTGTCAGATCCTTTGTGCATAACAAATATTCTGAAAAAAAAAAGGAAAAAAAAAGAGTGCACTATTCAACAATCTTATTACTTTGTTTTAGTAATCTTGTAAAATAATCCCCATGTTAAGGTTTTAATTTCAGGAATTATGTCCTGAATCAAGTCCAGTGAAGAAAAAAATATTACAAGTGGGCTATGAGAAGCATTGGCCCATACCACTACCATTCATAACCATAATCCAAGGCCGTGACATCTGATAGAGATGAGTAAACACCTTTTAAGGGTTATGAGACTGTTTAAACTTTAGCATTTAACTTATCATTCAGGCTGCTGCAACAAGGCCACCTTCAGTGCGCTGCTGCCAGAAATCACAGCTACCCACAAACGTGGGTAGATAACGCACCAGCAGCAGAGCCTCAAGTGACTGCAGAGCAGACTTTCTGCCACTCAGTTTTCAGCCACATCTATTACATATTTAGAGGCACTACACAAGCACACTCAGAAGCACAGAATTTAACTGGTCTTGTAGTTTAGAAGCGTTAACAAGGAGACCAGAGGAGTACACTGTAGATGGAGAATGCAGAAGGTTAGGAAGAAAGAAATACAGAGCTCACCCTTACTGGTGACATGCACATTAGCCAGGCTCACCCAAGGCCAGGGGGTTGTTGCAGCCAGGAAGTACTATTGGAATTTGGAAAAGCGCAGAATTCAGGATTTACCTATTCAAAATGTCTCATGTTAAAAGTAACATTCAAAACCTAGAAAACGCAACCTGTAGTGAAATTCTGACAAGTTGCTGATTTTGCCAAATGTATTAATTACGCTGTTTTCCTGGCACCCAGAATCCTATTCCCACTCTTCAGCGTAAGTGGGAACCTGCTACAGAAGCCACATGGTTCCAACAGTCCATGCTCCATCATACTTATTTTCAGCAGCCTGACTTATTAACATGCACCAGGGGCCAACACAAAAGAAGCATGCAGAACACCCCAACTGTCCCTCAGCAGTCTCTGCACTAAAAAAATAATTTCCTGTAAATGCAGCCATGAAGCAGCAGCCACTGCCTAACAACGTCAGAAGCACAGATGTGTTTACATGGAAACAGCCAGTGCTCAGTACACCCAGAGTTCGTAACCCGACTAGGCCCCTGGGGACGTAACCTGGAGCTGACCCAGGGAGTAGTGTATACATTTAACATAACCGTCAGCTTTATTAGTACGTCATGGTAGGCTCCCTCCGCTGAGCAACCTGCACTGGTCAGCCCTGCAGAGCAGAGGCTGCCATCCCAATAGCGTAGAGCAACAGCGCTACCAACATTCCCAACGGCCCCAACGGTCCTACCCCCGCGCACACCGCGACGAGGGGCTCTAGAAACTGCTGGAACCGCCCG